TGTTGATTCTTGACCTTGTTTCCTGAGCAATTGATGTCCAGTTTAGAACATCTTTTCCTATATCTATTATCTTGTAGGTTTTCCCCAATGTTTTCTTCTAACAGTTTCAGAGTTTCAGGCTTTACATTGAGGTCTGTGATCCATTTGGAATTGACTTTTGTGCAAGGTGAAAGATAGGGGTTTAGTTTCATTCTTCTACAGGTGGAGATCCAGTTTTGCCTGCACCATTTGCTAAACATGCTGTCTTTCCTCCAGTGAATGTTCTTGGCCCCTTTGTCAAACATCAGGTGGCTGAAATTGCATGTACTCACATTTGGGTCTTCAATTTTCTTCCATTGATCTATGGGCCTAATTTTGTGCCAGTACCATGTTGTTTTATGACTACAGCTATAGGGTTGCTTTGGCTATCTGAGGTCTTTTGTGCTTCCATATGAATCGTAGGATGGTTTTTTCCAATTCTGTGAAAAATGTCATGGGGATTTTGATTAGCATTGCATTGAATCTATAAATGGCTTTTGGTAGGATGGTCATTTTCACAATATTAATTCTTCCAATCCATGAGCATGGGAGGTCCTTCCATCTTCTGATGTCTTCCTCAATCTCTTTCTTTAAAGATTTAAATTTTTCGTTGTAGAGGTCTTTAATATCTTTGGTCAGGTTTATTCTGAGATTTTTTTGTTGTTGTTGCAGCTATTGTGAAGGGGAGTGGTTCCATGTGCTCTTTCTCTGATTGTTATTGGTATATAGAAAGGCTACAGACTTTTGTAGAATAATTTTGTAACCTGCCACTTTACTGACCATGTTAATAATTTCTAGGAGTTTTCTGGTGGAATTTTTGGCGTCTCTTGGGTATAATATCATATCATCTGCAAAAAGGAATAATTTGATTTCTTCTTTTCCAATTATTACTCCTTTAATTTCCTGCTCTTGTCTTACTGCTCTTGCAAGAGTTTCAAGCACTATGTTAAAGAGAAATGGAGAAAGTGAACAGCCTTGTCTGGTTCCTGATTTGAATGGGAATGCTTCCAGTTTTTCTCTGTTTAGAATGATGTTGGCTGTGAGTTTATTTTTTATAGCTTTAATTATGTTGGGGTATGTTCCCTCCAGTCCATTTCCCTCTAGGACTTTGCATATAAATGCATGCTGAATTTTGTCAAGAGCCTTTCCTGAATCTATTTAGATGACAGTGTGGTTTTTGTCTTTGAGTCCATTCATATGACTAATGACGTTTCTTGACTTGCATTT